TCATTAAAAAAAAAGCTGTCTACTGGGATTCAGTGGTGACAAGCATTCCCCAATTATGTTCACATTGGGGTTCCCAACATTTCGGTTTTTGGCTGGAGTTTGCCAGACTAGGCCACATATCTCCCAAGCTCTGTTGTTAGTGAGTTACACAGTGCACACACGCTCAACACACTAGCTGTGATAGTTTGCAACCGCAACACGTTTTCTCAGCCCTGCTTGTTCCTCACTATTTAGAATGCATTGTCTCACTATTGGTTGAGTCTGATGACATTGAGACCAAGAAAATTCACCTGGAAATTCAATAAACCCTGAGAGAACAAATGCAGAGGTGGGGTACCCAAAAACTTTTCAGAGGTATGCCTAGAGGACTGACCAGATAACATCTGATCATATTTTTAAGGTGAGAGGAGAGAGATTTAGAAAGTCACGAGGGGCAAATATTTCACAGAGTGACTCGTATGTGGAATGAACTTCCTGAGGAAGTGGTGGATGCAGGCACGGTTACAACATTTAAAAGACACTTAGATAAGTATATGAATAGGAACAGTTTGGAGGGATATGGGCTGGGAGCAGGTGGGTGGGACTGGCTTAGTTTGGGATTTTTTTTTTGAAAGAAGCCTCATGGTGTGGAAACAGGCCCTTTGGCCCAACAAGTCCACACCAACCCTTAGAACATCCCACCCAGACCCATCCCCCTAATCTACATATCCCTGAACACTATGGGCAATTTAGCATGGCCAATCCAGCTAGCCTGCACATCTTTGAAATGTGGGAAGAAACTGGAGCACCCAGAGGAAACCCATGCAGACACAGGGAGAATGTGCAAACTCCACACAGACAATCACCCAAAGCTGGAATCGAACCTGGGTTCCTGGCACTGTGAGGCAGCAGTGCTAACCACTGAGCCGCCGTGCCGCCCCCTGCTCAGCATGGACTGGTCGGATCGAATGGTCTGTTTCCACGCTGTATGACTCTATGACTATGACTATGTGATGACCTAAATGTATGATATCTGATCATATTTTATATAAATTTGTCTTACAGAGTTTGGATCTCTGAAATGGAGCATCTTTGTAGCCATTAAAAATGTTCCAAGAACTAACAGGCCATCTGTGAACAAGAGGGGAGTCTGATGGTGGCAAAACCAGGGATGGAAGAAGGGAAACTGTCAGTGGGAAACAGGTAAAATCTGAGTGAGGAAGAGAGAAAAGGGAACTAGAGAAGTGGGGAGACTCGGACAGGGAATTCAAATGTGGTAAGTGACTCGCAAAGGAGAGGCCAGAGGTAAGGAATTTAGATTATGCCTTTAAATTATGGTAACTCACTGATATTGTACCAAAAATAGGATTCCAATTCTCATTATAACCAATAGTAATATACGTCACTGACTGATCATTTATATGTAACTGACAGTAAAAGCTGGATATCCTACAAATAACTGATATTTACCATGGAACTAAGCCCAGAGACTTCCTGCACCGTGCAAGCTGTGGTCAGGTTCCCCAGTTGACAATGTTCTTAACAGGGTTAATCTCTCTTGTTTTCCATAGCCTATGGTTTGCACTTCATATGTTAAAACAGGGCAGCACAGATTGTCCTGCACCAACTGAAAGAAACAACACATAGCAAGTAGGTTTACTGTTTGGAGACCTCTCATGTGACATATCATCAGAGCAGCACCAATATTTCCTTGAGCTCATATAAGGAAGATTTCCATAGAATTACAGGAATTTCAGGAAAAGAGAAGACTATTTGTGTCCCAGTGTTGGCAATCTCTGTACCATGTCCCCTCCACCGAATGATCTTTCAATTTTCCTCATATATAACAGATGTATTCCATGTTCTCTAAAATTAAATTTTAGTGCGTACTTCAATCACCCACGGTCTCTTAGCCATCAGTTCAAGAATTCCTTCCTTCATACTTGTTGCTTTCAGTATAATCCTTGTTTTCTATTCTCTTATTTTCCATTCACCCACCAACGGAAATGATCTTTCTCTGTTTACCTACAGTAAGGCCTTTCATTATAACTCAGCTTATTTTTGGCTGCTGCTCTCTCCATGACATTCCTATTCACTACCTTCCTATTACTGTTTCTGATTCTTTACAAAGTTCTTGTTCCCTTGTCCAGGGTCTAACCACTGGGCGGAGCCTCAATCCTTTGTCAATTAGTCCATTTCGAACCTGCAGCACATTGCTGTAGTTCAGGAGTCACATGTCGGCTAGACCAGGTAAGTAGTGAACATTAGTGAACTAGATGGCTTTGTATGACAATCGACAATGGTTTTGTGCTCATTATTAGACTGCAATGTCTCACCTCTTCATTCCCCATCTCTTCCCAAAAACTCACGTCCCCCCGCCCCACCATTTCTCTCTGCTCATTCTCCCTTTCTCTTCCTAATCCACACTCTGTAGTTTCCCCTTAATCCCTGAGTCACTTCATCCCTTCCTCCCACCCCACCCAAGACTCTCCTATCCCTGATTTCAAACCCTTCTCTGATTTCAAAGTTGACACAAAGAGACACATTGAACGAACACTCAGAATTCTTGACTCTCTAGGTCCCTAAGACTATATTTCATAGTGTTGTGACTCCCTATGATGTGCTTGAGGGTTTAACAGCAGCAGCGAGGAAGGGAATGGAGCAGGTTAGAAATGCACGGCAGATAGAAATTTCCATTGCTAATCTTGATAACGTGGACTCTCAAAGCATTTAAAAAGTGCCACAGAGAAAGCTTATTAAGAAGATTGAAGATAAATTAAGTGACAAAGCAAAACATGGTCATAGATGGATGTTTTCAGACTGGGATGTAGTTCATAAGCGTTCAACAGAATATGTTTTGAGTCCATTACTCTTCTCAATTTCTATAAACTGGCTAGACTTGGTTATCAGGAACAGCATGAAAAAGTATGCAGATGATACAAAACTTGGCAAAATAGGAAAACTTGCAGAGAATTGTTAAACATTTCAGGATGGCAGAGATAGAATGGTTAAATGAATCAAAGAGTAGCAAATGCAGTTTTTATTGTGGAGGTATGTAGGGTCATGCACATTGGCAAGACAAACACAGGAAGCTATTTTACTATTATTTTGAAAACTGTACATCCACAAATTCTTAAAAATGGTATACCAAGTCACTGAAGTGATTAAAATGCATACATATGGATTATCTGGGCATATAATTACAGGCATAGAATATGCAAAAATGATCATACTAGAAGTACATCAATAACTGGTTAGACCTCAGCTAGAGTATTATGAATAATTTTAGGAGTCACAGACCTGAGGGGAGATGCAAAGGCCTGAGAAAGCATACGATGGAGGCTTATCAGGGTGTTACCAGGGTTGAATGACTCAAAAATTAGAAGCGATTAGAGAGGATAGAACTGTTCTCCTTGGAACTGAGAACTGAAGATGATGGAGGACCTGAGAGGACTGAATAGAGTCACAGAGGAATAGCCACTGGAGACTTTTGAACTATCTTCTTACCTTTCCCAAAAATCACCCATCAATCTGACTGATTCTGCTGTGTAACAACTTTTCTAAGTCTACTAGCCAGCTCATTTATGTTCTTAAGAACACTAAGCATAAAAAAAAAGGAACTTTCAATAACACCCAATATATAATTACCCACAGAAAATAATGTTAAAATGGAAAAAAAATTGAATATATATATATCAAACATATAAAACCTAAATAAAATCAACCACTTAGCTGATTAACTGAATAAAAAAAAAAGACTCTTCTTCAGTGAATTTAAGAAAAAGACTCTTCTCCAGAGTCAACCACGTGTAGGATTCCCCAAAATGAAAACAACTCCACATTTAAAAAACAACTGTTCGGCTTTTCAAAACAAAACTTTTGCAATGTAAGAAAAAAAATCCCCTTAATGTGTATAGTCCTTTTCAACTTCCAAATTTAGAATAAAAATACCTCAGCCGTTCACTGTAGATCCTGAAAAACTCTTTTCAAAAAGATGTCTGTTTGAACAAAAAAAAACAGGATTTTTATGTTTGGTTTTTTGAACGTTAATGAAACAAAATAAATAAAGATTTTATATTAGTGAAACATAATAAGTGTAATAAAACTGTAAGTAATCTTCTAAACAAGGAAAAATTATTCCTTTGGTGAGCGGGTCAAAAGCAAAACTCGTAGATTACTATGAACACATAAATTGAGGGGAAGGTGATGATGTAGTGGTATTGTCACTGTACTAGTAATCCAGATATCCAGGTTGTATTCTGAGGGCTAAGGTCTGAATTCCAACATGGCAGATGGTGGAATCTGAATTCAATAAAGATCTGGAACAGTTAAACAATGACCATGAAACCATTGTTGATTGTTATAAAGACCCATCTGGTATAAAAGCCCACCTGCTTCACTGATGTAAAAACATACCTGGCCCAGCTGACAGATGACTCTAGACTAGCAGCAATATGGATGACTCTTAATTGCCCTCTGATATGGCTAGCAAGCCATTTAGTTGTATCAACTGAGAAAGTCTCAAAAAGAAACGAAACCAGATGGACCACTTGGCATCCACCTAGGCACCAAACAACAAACTCAGCCTTGTTGACACTATAAAGTCCTCCTTAACAACATTGAGGCGCTTGTGCCAAAATTGGGAGAGCTGTTCCACAGATGAGAGAAGCAACAGCTTGACATGGTCATACAGAATCATACCTTACACACATACCTTGTCACAGACAACACCATTACCATCCCTGGATATGACAGACCTACCACAGGGGTGGCACAATAATATACAGTAGTCAGGAGGGAGTTACCCTGCGAGTCCCCAACATTGGCTCCAGACCATATGATGTCTCATGACATTAGATTAAACATGCTCAAGTAAACATCCTGCTGATTACAATGTAATGCTACCCCTCAGCTGATGATTTCGTACTCCTCTTGAAGAAACACTGAAGGTAGCAAGGGTGCAGAATGTACTGTAGCTGGTGGACTTTGTTGTTCATTATTAAAAATCACACAACACCAGGTTATAGTACAACAGGTTTATTTGAAGACACAAGCTTTCAGAATGTCACTCATTACCAACAGTGACTTGTACTACAACTGACCGAGCTGGATAAGTCCAAAATGTCATGAGTCACTGGTGTAGTGCACTGGAAATCAAGCCCTTCTGTTCCTGGAGGAATCACAAAAGTTAAAGATTTTAACTCTTCAATTTACCTGATTTCATACCTAGATTGATAGAATACATGGACCAGGTTCTGTATTTAACAAGAACTGCTATTTATTACACGTAGTTAGACTCTAGCTACAAGCAAGCAGTTACAATCTCTAGGCATGAAGCACTAGAAATTGAAACTAATTCCCTTACAGACACACAGGCAGACAAGACATATTGACAGAAAAAAAAAGAAAAAAGACAGAGGGAAATAAAACTGTAACAACAGTTTGTTCCCAAGTTCTGTTGAATTATTTCTTGCTGATCTGAAGGTTTTTCCTGACTTTCCTTTTCTTGCACTGGTTTGAAAGAGGCTGGGGTGGCTGGTTCACTTAACAATTAAAAGACACAGTTTAACAGCAACTGCTGAAGGGAAGATTAAATAGTTTTTTTTTCAATTTCAAATCCTTTCTCAGTATCTTGTTCCCACCCCCAAGCTGTTCAGTTACCTGACAAACTATCACATAGGTGCTGGCAGGCATAACACTTTTGTTAACACCACTGCCTTCTCAAGGGCAACCAATACACCTCCTCCCACCCACCTTCCTGCAAAAATGCCATCCCCTATTCCCAATTCCTTTGCCTCCGCCGCATCTGCTCCCAGGATGAGGCATTCCACTCCATTACATCTCAGATGTCCTCGTTTTTCAAGGACCGCAACTTCCCCCCCCTCAGTGGTCGAGAACGCCCTCGACCGTATTTTCCACTACTCATCCCTCACACCCCCTCCCCGCAATAACAACCAAAACAGAATCCTCCTCGTCCTCATGTACCACCCCACCAACCTCCGGATCCAACGCATCATCCTCCGACACTTCCGCCATCTGCAATCCGACCCCACCACCAAAGATATTTTTCCCTCCCCACCCTTATCCGCTTTCCGGAGGGACCACTCACTCCGTGACTCCCTTGTCCACTCCACACTCTCCTCCAGCCCCACCACACCAGGCACTTTTCCCTGCAACCGCAGGAAGTGCTAACCTGCCCCTACACCTCCTCCCTCACACCCATCCCAGGCCCCAAGAAGACTTTCCACATCAAGCAGACGTTCACCTGCACATCTGCTAATGTGGTATACTGCATCCGCTGGTCCCATTGTGGCCTCCTGTACAATCGGGGAAACCAAGCGGAGGCTTGGGGACCGCTTCGCAGAACACCTACACTCGGTTCACACTAAACAACTGCATCTCCCAGTTGCGAACCATTTCAACTCCCCCTCCCATTCCTCAGACGACATGTCCATCCTGGGCCTCCTGCAGTGCCACAACAATGCTACCCGAAGACTGCAGGAACAGCAACTCATTCCGCTTGGGAACCCTGCAGCCCAATGGTATCAATGTGGATTTCAAAAGCTTCAAAATCTTCCCTCCCCCTACTGCATCCCAAAACCAGCCCACTCATCCCTGCCTCCCTAACCTGTCCTTCCTCCCACCTATCCCCTCCACCCACCTCAAGCCCCATCCCCATCTCCTACCTACTAACCTCATCCCGCCCCCTTGACCTATCCGTCCTCCCTGGACTGACCTATCCCCTTCCTAACTCCCCACCTACACTCACCTTTACTGGCTCCATCCCCACCTCTTTGACTTGTCTGTCTCCTCTCCACCTATCTTCTCCTCTATCCATCTTCTATCTGCCTCCCCCTCTCTCCCTTTTTATTTGAGAACCCCCTTCCTCTCCCCCATTTCTGAAGAAGGGTCTCGGCCCAAAACGTCAGCCTTCCTGCTCCTCTGATGCTGCTTGGCCTGCTGTGTTCATCCAGCTCTACACCTTGTTATCTCAGGCAATAAATGCTGGCCCAGCCAGATAAGCCCATATCCCACGTGAATAAAAAAAAGTCTGAAGCAGTATGTCTGCAACAATCCCCGCGTTCCAGCCCTTGGCCCATAGCCTTGAATGTTATGATATTTCAAGTGCTGATCTACATACATTTTAAAGATTGCGAGTTTGCCTGCCTTTACTACCCACCCAGACAGTGCATTCCAGATTCCCACCGACCTCTGAGTGAGACTCCTTTTCGTCAAATTCCCTCTAAACCTCCTGCCCTTCATTTTGAAATTATTCCGTATCTTTAGTGACCCTTCAACTAAGGGGAAGAGCTGCTTCCTATTCACCCTGTTCATTCCCCTCATCATGTTATGTACCTCAGTCAGGTTCTTCTCTGCTCTAAATCCTCTCCAGCCTTTCCATAGGTAAACTGCTCCATCCCAGGCAACGTCCTAGTGAATTTCATCTGTGCCTACTTCGTGAAATCACATCCTTCCGATGTGGGGCGATCAAACTACACAGTGCTGCAACTGTGAACTAACCAAACTTCTGTACAACTCCAACATAACTTCCCTGCTCTTATAATCTATGCCACGCTTGATAAAGACAAGTGTAAGCCTTTTTAACTACCCTATTAACCTGTCCTGCCGCTTTCAGGAATCTGAAGTCATCCACAAACCTACCTACCATCCTCTGAAGAAGGGTCTAGGCCCGAAACGTCAGCCTTCCTGCTCCTCTGATGCTGCTTGGCCTGCTGTGTTCATCCAGCTCTACACCTTGTTATCACTACCATCCCAACTTACTTTTTCCCGGTTCTTTCACTCGGACAGCTGGTGCTGCCTGAATTGTTTCCATTTTCAGTTTTGTGTTTTAACTGTCGCGTCGATACGTAGTGTCAGCCGAGCTACTTCCTGAAAATCTCCAATTTACTGAATTCCCTGAGAAAAATCCACACCGAATCCTTTTCCATTTCGTCTGCTCAAGGGAGTTTCCCCGAGGCCACACGTGTGAACCCTGGGGAACAGGGAGGGAGCTGAGCTTTCCAGAAGGTCATATCGAACGCGAAAATGTGTTTTTTTTTGTCTGTGTGGGCAGGTGCTGACTATAAAGGATTTGGTGTGGTCTGGGCAGGGAGTGGGAAGTCCCAGTAGAAGCCAGTCCCCCTTCGAATGATGAAAGTGAAACCAGGAAGTGAAGCAGTTGAGTGAGAGAGGGTCAATCGAGCTGTGGAGTTGTTGGTGGGGGTGGAAGCGCGGTGTGTGATCAGAGCAGCAGCAGCAGCAGCAGCAGAGTCAGCCCGGGCTGAGGCCCCTCGGTAAGCGGGCAGTGATGGTACTTGTGGCGGTCGGGGAGGTAGGCGCCGAGCGGTAGTTGCTGTGTGGGAGAGTGTGGCCTGTGACGTCCTGAGCGGTATCTGCGAGCGGAGAGAGGAGGCGGGAGGGAGGGGTTGGATCTGAACTCTCCCACACCAACATCTCTCCCCGTTTTTAATTCTCTATTCGCAGATTGCATTCACCTCACTCCGGGCGGCGCGATGCCAGAAGCGATCGGAGGCGCTGAGGCAAAAGCGAGGCTTCCGGAATCTTTGTTTTAAAAGTGTAGTCACCCACCGATAGGATTTCCCGTGTGATCAATAAGATCAATTCCAGAGCGGGAGGGGAGCGGGAGAGTTTCGGTTTCGAGTTTCATTCTGTCCTTTTCTGAAAAGACAATCGAAGTTGGCCGACAGGGCAACTGGGTATTAAACAGTCAGCGAGAGGATGCGAGAGGGACAAGGCAACGGAATGGAAGAGGTTTACCAGCAAACGACAGAACCAATCCAGAACACTGACTCCTGCTGTGACCTGGGTTACCTTCGCACTCGCAAAGGGATCCTGAAACTGCTTCAAGTGGTGAGTCTGTCGTGTTCGGTCGGCTCTGGCTCTCCTACATGAATGGCAGAATTATTTTGGGCAGTTTAAGAACGAGTCAATTGGAGTCAGAGGGCTTGAGTGAAATCACAGGTTAAGGAAATCTTGTGTGTCTGTAAATGTGTGTGTGTGTGTATATATATATATACATATATGTATGTATTAATTCTACTTGGAATGTGTTCTTGGAGTTTCATCATACGGTTTCCCAACAGCCAAGCAGGCCTCCGCCCAGCATTTCCCACATTACTGTGAGTTTTTAAAAAAAGTGGAAATGCCAACGTTCCCAAAGAACTGCGGATGCTGGAAATTTGAAACAAAAACAGAAAGCGTTTCCTCCGGCACTCTGTTTATTGCTTATGATTTTGATAATGGATTGCTCACTAGTGTCCTGGAAATGGACCTTAAATTCTTGAAAATTCCAGGGCACTACTAGAGGTTGGCACCCCTAACTGAAGATAAAGAGGATCACAAGTTTAAGACCATGGAAAATAATTGTATTCCTTTTACTTTTGCTCTCAATTCAGGGAGTGCCAGTTCATTGCCAGCATGTGTTGATAGATTACCATTAATTTATATTCACCATCCAATGTACCCTCATTTGAAAGCCAATGTGAAAACCTCAGATTGAAGAACCAAACCAGCTTCTTGGATTCAGCAGATTTAAGATGTGTTAATTTGACAGCAAAGTAGGAAGGATTGCATCATGAAGAGGGGAAGTTTTTGTTGGAGGACAGAATGGAGCCCGGAGGGGCCCTAATGTTTTGAGAGGGAGGAGAGAATGACCATTAAGGACAGCACAGACAGTGCTGCCTGACATATTTAGGTTAACATGAACATGACAGTTCTTTAGTCAGAAACCTAGAAGTAATTCTAAGACAGTACTTAAAGTATTTCTGTGGACACAGAATAAGTGAACTCAATATGTAAAAGTAATACTGGCATCCTACGTAAAAAAAAATTACAGAACATTGACATTTTTGAATTAATGTTCTTTGCAAGTAACTGTACATTGTGTTGAGGTGTACAGATCAGAAAGTTTTTGCAAATGATCCCTGAATAGTACAAGAGCTAGTTTATCCAAGAAAATAGTAATTGACTACAGTGTGCAGAGGCTGTAGTGGGAATAATCATTTTGTAGTTCTGTCATCTGTCATTGGAAAAATATTTGAGCTATTATAAAGAAGTGATAACAGAACATTTAGAAATACATAATCTAATCAAAAAGAGTCAACATGACTTCATGAGGAGAAATCATGCCTAGGAAATTTATTAGAATTTCTTTGAGGAAGTAACAAGCTGGATAGATAAAGGAGATCCACTAGATGCAATATATTTGGATCTTCAAAAGGTGTTTAATAAGGTACTGCCCCAAAGGTTATTTAATGAGATATGAGCCCCTGGTGTTGGGGCAGTATATAGCATCGATAGAGAATTGTCTAACTATTAAAAGACAGAGTGTGACGATAAAGGGACATTTTCAGGATGGCAATAACACAGTGTGGAGCTGAAGGAACACAGCAGGCCAGGCTACATCAGAGGAGCAGGAAAGTTGACGTTTTGGGTCGGGACTCTTCTTCAGAAAGTTATCAGGATGGCAACCTGTAACTAGTGGAGTACCACAGAGATTGGTGCTGAGACCGCAATTACAGTCATAGAGATGTACAGCATAGAAATAGACCCTTTGGTCCAACTCATCCATGCTGACCAGATATCCTAAATTAATCTTGTCCCATTTGGTCCATATCCCTCTAAACCCTTCCTTTTCATACACCCATCCAGATGCATTTTAGATGTTGCAATTGGACTGGGGTGTGTTAACACGCTGCAATTAAATTAAAATTCTCTTCATTGCAAAAAGATTCAACCCACACCTGTTGTTCAGTAGCAGTAGACAATATCTCAGCTCCACTTGTGAAAAAAGAATTGAATTGATTTAATGAACAAAAATAAATAATGTGCATAATGATGTTTTCCTCACCTTTGTCATTTCTAACATTTGTGTGCAGATTATTTAGAAGAAGGAAATGAGAGTAACAGAAAAGATACAGCGTATAGATTTGAGAATATTATCAGAGATAATAGGTGATGTTTAAATAGAGACTTGAGAAGCTTTGGCTTTTTCACTTGAACTGAAAGGATTAAAAGTTGCAGATTATGAAGAATTGCGCTAAGGAAAGTATTTCCACAAGTGGACAAAACAGAACAAATTTAAGATAATTATAAAAGAAATTAAGTCAGTGAAAGCAATGTTTTTTTCTTAAACCTATTGTTGTCCATGAACAGTTTAAAAAAAATCAGTTCTTAGAGAAAGGTTAATATTAAACTGCTTAGGGAAAAGACAGGTGAATGGAATTAGACTGTGATTTTTACAGAGAGAAGCACTGGCTCAGATTTGGTGGAGCAAATGGATTATTTCTTTGTAGTACTTTGACTTGTTTTAGCATATCATCAGGCATGAATACAATTCCAATTTTAACGTCTATCAAAACTTGCGCAAATCATCTCATTTGTTATTTTACAACTAATTAACTGCATATTCATTAATTTTGATTCATCTGTATTTAAAAGGACATTAAACTGTCAAATTGCTCTAGATATTTATCAAACTTTTGTAAGTGCTATGCTGGTCACCTCAGCTGAGTATCAAACAAATAATTAGTATATAATAAATACATAGTAACTAAATAAATAATTTATTGCACTAAACATGAATTTAAAAGTATTTTAACTTTCCCATAAAATTGCCCAATTCTTATTTTTATTGAATCTATTAGATATTGCTCTAAAGCCTAATCTGTTGGGTCTACAGTCTTTAATCACCTGTGAAGTATCCGGGGATTCGTCCTGTATTAAGGCCTCTATGGAAATGCCAGCTGTCATGTCCGGCTCCAAGAGCTATTTGTGCTCCCATTTTCGCTTCTGAACATTATCATGAGAAAGCTACCATCTATTATTCTTTCTGTTGTTTTTGACTAGTCCTACCTGCTGATGCTGCAGCTCACCTTCCTGCCTGAGACCTGATCCAGCTCCATGTTTATTTGAGTGATAAATGCTGGCCACAATTCAATTAAATTGAATTTTTAAAATCCCACAAAAGAATTAAAAAAGATGTACTTGACCTACAACATCCCATTCTCTTCTGCATGTCCCCTTGACCCTCCAGGTCATCCCAAACCTGACTCTAGTTAATTATTTACTTTTTAGGCCACTTTTCCAGGCTTTTGGACCTTGGGATAAAAACTGATTTCTGTTCCAAAGCCAAAATGTATATAATCGTAAAAAATGTTGGGAACAGGTCACAGACAAGATTATGTGCTAGAGGTGGGTTGGTATATTTAGTTATGTAGTTGGTCTGTCAGGAAAAGAAATAATGCTATCTCTCTTTAAGATAAACATTTAAATTGCTCACAAACTATACTGTACAATTCTTTTACCAGAAATACATATGAAGTTCAATGGTGTGAATTTTCCACTTGGTCATTTCACTGTAAAAATGTGATAGTACTGAAAGATGTACCCTAAACTTGACTAATTTTCAAGCAAGAAATATTGTGGCATGAGGTAGTAGGTATACATGTGGTGAAAGGCTGAATTAGATGAGTATGGTAGGTATTTACTGATTTGCTGTATTAATAGGTGGTGAGAATTTTGCTCTACATTATAATCTTTTTCTTAAAAGTCTTCCAAATGACTTCTCTAGCAACCCCATATTCTTGCATACCCATTCATTTCCAGTATCTCTCCCTTGTGTAGCAGGTAAGATGCATCCTCCCACAGTCCAAGGATGTGCAGGATAGGTGAATTGGCCATGTTAAATTGCCCCGTGTGTGTGCCAATTGCATAGGAATTTGATATGTCTGCTCAAATGGACCAGGGCATATTGCCAGAAGATTGCTTCCAGCTTGCCTTTATCTATCTTATGCTGGAATTGTAGATAACTCTACAGGAGGATCCCAGCTTTGTTTTACACCTACATAGCTGTCTACGTTGATTACAGGAGGTTGCAATTGGAAAGGTAAATTTTTAATCAAAAATGAGTAATCAGTCAGACTTTTAAAGAAAAAATATGGATCATAGGCATGGAGGTCATTCTTAATCCATTCTGTTTTGTGGAATAGATGAATGAGGACAAAAACACTTCCGTTTATGTAGCATTTTCTGTGGTCTCGGCATGCTTTACAGCGAGTGAAATATTAGGTGTGGCCACTGTTACGTAGATAGTAGATCACCCAATAATACTACATTGTTCTTCAAGTAGTAGTATAGGAACAGATGTAGGAGTTCAGCCCCTCAAGCATGTTCCACCATTCAGTGAGATCATGGCTGATCTGTGGTCTATCTCCATATCCCTTTATACCTTCACTTAACAAAAAATTCTCTCTCGAATTTAAAATTAACAACTGATCTAGCATCAACTGTCATTTGTGGAAGAGAGTTCCAAACATCTACCACCTGACACAGTGACTCAGTAGTTAGCATTGCTGCCTCACAGCGCCAGGGACCCAGGTTTGATTCCACCCTCGGGTGACTGTCTGTGTGGAGTTTACATGTTCTCCCTTTATCTACGTGGGCTTCCTCCAGGTGCTCTGGTTTCCTCCCACAGTCCAAAGATATGCTCAGTCCTTTGAGTATAGGAGTTGGGGAGTCATATTGACATTGTCCAGGACATTGGAGAAGCCATGTCTTCAAGATCCTTAAGGGGGAGGGTGAGCAACCAGCAGTCATGGTACACCTCGGTACTAATGACATAGGTAGAAAAAGGACTGAGAATGTGAAAAACGAGTACAGGGAGTTAGGTTGGAAGCTGAAGTCCAGGACAAACAGGGTAGTTATCTCTGGATTACTACCAGTGCCATGTGATAACGAGGTAAGAAATAGGGAGAGAGTGCAGCTAAACACGTGGCTACAGGGCTGGTGTAGGAGGGAGGGCTTCCATTATGTGGATAATTGGAGCACATTCTGGGGAAGGTGAGACCTGT